AAAAAATCCAAAAGTTAATATTTTGAGCAATATTATATTGCGTGTTTCTAATGAATGTTTTTCAGAAGTAGTAAAGGGCATTATGGACGAAATTTTTGAAAATATCTGGTTCTCTGCAAGCAATGCCCAATTTACTAAAAAAGGCGAATTACGCAAAAGAAAAAAATACGCTCTAAGTAAATTTGAACGAAATCAAATTAAAATCAAGACCAGTAAGAGTAAATATCAAATCAAAGCATCTTGCACAAATTGTAAGAAACAATATCAGTTAAAAATTGATAGTAATAGGCAAATAACAATTAATGAACAATTGAAATTTATTGTAGATACTACTTTTCTCATAGTTTCAATTTTCATCATTATTAACAGAAAATGTCGTATGTGTCAAATATCATACTCGGGCTGTATGTACAACAAAATAAAGTGAAAAAACAAAATCTGCAAGTAAAAATTAGTAGTATGTAATAAATATATATTTTCTGAATGTAATAGTCTTCACGGCAAATTAGAATAAAGAAAATGCTAATTATCTCAAAATCAACTATTTGACAGTTACGACTTTATGGCTTAACAGGGCAGTAAATCTGGTATATAAAAAAAGTGTTTTTGTCAACTATTTTAAAATTTAAAATGTAAAACATTGAGAGAACTGGTCTGCTGCTTTATTTTCACAAAGAACAGCCAGTTTTGTATTTTACATACAATTTTATTCTATTAATATTTATTAATAGAAATAGTGAGGTCTTATAGATATTGGGCTGTTTTTGCTATTTTTGGCTATTTTTCATGTTGGTCTTCGTCTGGGTTGAATTTAATTTTTATCACAGCCGTTTTTGGTGTATTCTTATTGGACAGATAGTACAGTCATTGAAGCTGAAAATCAGCTGTAACCTCCGAATTCTTTGAAACTGCATGGATTTGCATGAAAATTTAGAATAAGGCTCATATTAGGCTCAAGTTCAAAAGTGACATAGGCCCAATTGACGCTTTTTCTTTTTTAGGGGTACCTAAGTGAAAAAAATTGAAAAAATTAAGTTTTTAAGCACAAAGATTAAATAATGTTCCAAAAATTCTTCGAATATTCTTTGCTCAAAATTTGATTCTCTATCGTTTTCCCTTATTTTTGAAAAATAAATTTCCACCCCCGAGAAGGGGTGTCAACCCCCAGCAGGGTGGAAGCGTCAATCGGCGCTATGTCACTAATATTCATTGACCTTTTCTCTAACTACCTGCCAAATTTCAAGTCAATCGGTTCAGTTTCAAAGAATTCAGAGGTGAAAAGCTTCAATGACTGTACTAAGAACCAAGTCCACCATAAGTTAATTTTTCAACGATTTCTCTAATCCTTCCCTTGCAGACAACACCTATCCCGGCGAAATCCCCTCTCTGAACCCGTGCAGATTTACGGGCTCAGAGATCCGAGTCCGCGACGACTCCCTCCCTCTGGCCCACATCGCCATCGCCGTAGAGGGAGCGGGTTGGACCGACCCGGACACCCTCACCCTCATGGTGGCTTCTACACTGCTGGGGGCCTGGGACAGATCGCAGGCTTCCGCCAAGCAGAACGCGACCACGCTGGCTAGGGCGAGCGCCGAGGGCGACCTCTGCCACTCTTACCAGAGCTTCAACACGTGCTACAAGGTGGGTGTGTATGTTATTTTAATCAAGTGCGACTCAGTTATGTATTGAATTTTATGGATTTTTAATAGTGTGTTAATATTTCGATGATCGGTGGTCGTTAAAATTTATTCAGTGTTCTGTAAGTACAAACGAGTTTTGGAGCTGCCCAGTGACGGCGTAGACGAGAGTTTAAACGCAATTTAAAAAACTAATTCGACCACCTGTTTGATAAAAAAAAATCATTTTTGATTATGAAGAATTCTAACTTCTTTCGTTTAAGGCAGTTATCAGCTACTTTAAGTTCACAGTTAGTGAAAATCTAAGAAATAAGTGAATATCTACGTAATTTGATTTTTTTCGCATTGGCAAACGATATTTTTCAAAAAATAAAATATATGTGTGACGCCTAAAGTACACTAAATACGTGAAATATTACCGAAAACCTGTAACTAAAACTGGGACGTTTGAACTACTCCACCAGATTTTTAACATCGTGTCCTAATTATTTTGTGTTCAAGAGATATTTTAATATACAGAATATACAAGTAAGCCCAATTAATATTTAAAGAGTCCATTAGAGTTAAAAATGTGAGCATGCACTTAAATTTTAACGCTGACAATGAGATACAAAATGTATAAGAGAACTTTTGTAGGACACAGGCTTGTGGGGCATTTACTTCGTGTCTGATCCCCTTAAAATCGAAGACATGGTGTTCAACATCCAACAGGAGTTCATGAGGCTCTGCACCAGCGTTACCGAGGGCGAAGTAGAGCGGGCCAAGGCTCTGCTCACCGCCAACACCCTCCTTCAATTGGACACCTCCACGGCGGTCTGCGAAGACATTGGTAAGTCTCCGAGACCATCACGCTTAATTTTTCTGAAACTCAGGAAATCAGAAGTGGGATTCGAATAAATCAGAAGCGGGATGCGGCATTAGTATGCTTTTCTTTTTAATTCCAGGTCGGCAGTTGTTGTGCTATGGCAGGAGGATCCCGCCCCACGAGCTGACGCACCGCGTCAACAGCATCACGGCGCAGAACGTGAGGGACGTCTGTTACAAGTACCTGTACGACAGGTGCCCTGCAATCGCCGCTGTCGGGCCCGTTGAGCAGCTGCCCGACTACAACAGGATCAGGTCGTCTATGTACTGGCTACGCGTCTAATTACGACAAAGTATTTTAGGATAATTTAAAAAAATTCGTAAGACATCCTTGCTAGCACGGCAACCCTCGAGTCAGTTACGTACAGTTGTGGGTTACGTTAAATTCAAACAATTATGGTGTTTCAAAAGGAAAAACAGTTGTATGTAAATATTTAATTTCTAATTTAATAAAAATAACTTTTTATGTTTTGTTTTATTCTGGCCGTCTGTCATGCCTGATCTCAGGCATATTGACGGGTTGGAAAGTTTTTTTTTTTAATATAATACAGTGATGTGAAATGTACATGGTGTAACAAAAATTAATCTGCAAAGTTTGAGGATATTTAAAAACTTGCTTTTTTTTCAGAAAAATTATTTGATAGAAAAAAATATTTTTTCTGTAATTGTTTTCTTCCGTTTCCTAAAATATTAAATACATGGAAGACAGTAAAGAACTTTTTTACGTTTTGTTGTATTCTCGCCACCTGTCGTACCTGATTTAAGGTATATTGAGTGCTTGAAAAATAATCTTAAATTGACAATTTAAAAAAAATACTTTTTAAGAGAAATAGAATACAGTGACATGAAATATATAGGGTGTGACAAAAATTAATCGATGCGCTTTGGCGATACTTTTTTTCGGTAGAATTTCTATGCCCATGACAAAAAAAATGTATAAAGGAAAAGTTAATTGAAGGAAAAGAAATATTTTCTTGTAATGTGTTGTTTTTTCTATAAAAAATTGAAAAATTCGAAAAGTTATCTATTCTGGCCGCCTATCATACCTGATCTTAGTCAAATTGACTGATTGGAAAATAATTGTAGGGTTATGATTTTAGGAAAAAAAATTTTGCTCGTACATATTTAAAAAGGCTAAAATATAAACATAGCGACATGAAATGTACAGTGTGACAAAAATGAACCAACAAACCTCAAAATTATTTAAAATATGTTTTTTTCAATAGAATTGCTACGTCCTAACTTAAAAAAAAATACAAAGGAAGAATTATGTGGAAGAAAAAAAAATAGTTTTGTTATTTCCTGTAATGCATTCCGTTATGTCCAGTTACCATTTTACAAAAAATAGGAAATAATTCGAAAATGGGATACATCATGAAAAAATTACATACTTTGTTCTTCCAAGTGTAATCAAAAAAATTGTATCAGCGATTTGTTTAAAAATCGTGTAAAAATTTTTTTGAATGAAGTGGGATACTGCAGATATTAACATGCTTGATATAAACAGTACAACAAATTTCAAGTTTATCGAAAAAACGCTTTGGGAAATATTTCGAAAAATTAAACATGTTTCAGAACTTTAACACCCCCTCTATCTCTACAACCGGCAACAAGCATTATAGAAAAAAAAATACACCTATAAGTACCTATGCTTGACCCAAAATATGTTTGTGAACTCTATATACCTATATCCTCGAAGTTTATTAATTATATTTTTCGCACCCTGTAAAAAATTTTATTTCATCGATTTCTTTTTATTGTAGCAACTTTGCTACTCATTTAAGAAAATCCAAGAAGTCAAATCTGCGAAATTTAAAATGCAGACACAAACAGCGACACATCGTAAGTCACACGTATACGCACGCTGTTCTTTCATCTTTTTCTTGTGGTCCTCCGAGATTATTGATTTTCCTCGGCCCGTACCACGGAAAATCACGGCGATCCGCGGAAGAGGAAACTACTTTTTGCCCCCAACTTGGAGAGCACCAACTGTACCCTTCGCGCTCCCTTGCAAATAAAATCTATTGAATAATATAAAAGTATTTGAAAAGAAAAACGGTTGGGGTAGAAAAGGACGGTGATTTGTTTATTTTCCCAACGGGACACGTTGATTGGCGGAGGGTTTTGGCGGGTAGCGGCAGCGCCGCGTGCGGAACGCTTTGGAACGATCGGCGTAGCTCATAGTTGCCTTGTGTGTCTGTTTGGTAAGTCGATTTATCCATCTCTTCTTTATTTAATATAAAATCAGGGAAATTTATTTGGGAACGCAGGAAATCATATTAAAATATTAGTTTTTTTACCCGAATTTACTGTGGTGGTGGTTTTCTGATCGGTGCAGCGGTTCTACGGTAATTAATTTCGGAGTGAATTTTATCGAATTATTTGCCAGCGATGGCCGACGCGATTTCGTACTAGCAAGCCAACTCCACTCGATTTTGCACTTTGAAAATTAATTTCTCTGAAAGTACGTGCCGGCCCGTCTTAATTCTTATACCAAATCGTAGCTAATTTTTTGCTCTTCACGCCTGTACCGTGTTTCGCGGGGCGAATCCCTTATTTTTATTTAAAAATATTAGGGTGTTGCCAAAACATTTTAATATTGTATTATTTTGAGAGTTTGAGAATGGCGCGCGCGGCATTTGTTTGTTTCGAACGGGACGCCTGCTTTAATTGCTTATAAAGGACGATTGTTTCGATAAAAATATTTGAAAAAAATCGACCCGTTATTTTTGTAATAAATCTGTCCGTTTTTGGCGAAACGGAGAAGAAAATAAACCGGTATAATATGATAAACAGTATGCGACACGATTTATTTTTATCTCTTGCTCTTACATTAGTTCTTTCACTTTTTATAATTAAATGTTGAGGATCCGACAGAAACTTGAACATGGCTACGTTGACGTCGGGCCCATAAATTCGGTTATTAACGAGTTTGCAGGCATTAAAGCTTTTTTATGGACGGCAAAGTATTGATTTTTCCGAATAAACGAAAGTTTAGTATTTACATCTAGACATCGGATTCGTGGTTCGTCTGTCCTGCTCTCACGTTCTTGGACAAGATGTTTACGTTTTTTTTTCGGACAATAAGCGCATGTAACCGTACATAATCTCGAATACGACAACCGTGATAAACAATTTAACTGTTATTTACGCTACGACTGCGAGTTATTAGGAAAAAGCAGTTATTTATCAAGACCTGCTTTCGTCAAAGGTTTGCGCGTATTTCACCGAATCTTTTTTGTTTTGTTTTCATTACCAAGGCCAACTCGAAGTTCTCAATGGAAACGGCGTCGTTTCATTTGCTGGCATTTTTGTATCGATAATTTTTGACAAATTGCGACTTACAGGATTGCCAAAACTATGTATAAAGTACCAACGAAGTTGAAAACTTAATGTGACTTAAATGTTATATACAAATTATGTGAGGACGGGACGGTTACTATTATTTCTTGCGAAAGGAATTGGTAATAACTTTGAATTCTTGTCCAGATTTCTATTTTGATTTCATCCCAAGTGTGTCTTAACTCGCACAAAACACACTACAGAGATGTCCGACGACGCAGTTGCTGCTCCGGGAAAGAGGGGGCGCAAATCCAATGCGGAGAAAGCTGCGGCAGAAAAAAACGAAAAGGCCGCAGAGTCCAAGAAACGTACCAAGAAAGTAAGTCGAATTTCGTTAGAAAGAGGAAAATATTTTAACAAAAAATTGATATCTAATCTGTCTTTTTTATTCATGAATATTATTTATCGTTTGCTCAGCTTGTCATGTAATGAGTGTTTCATAACTCTACCGATACAGAGCAGGCTAATCGAATCGGACAAAAAGTAAAGTATGTAGTTTTACGACTAGTAGGCTATGATTTTATGTGTCATTTTTGACGTAAGATTATCTACATTGCCTGCTCTTCTCGATAGAGTTATGAAACACATTGTATATTTACGTTTCAATGTAGGTAGTTTTCCTTTTTCTCTCTGTAACCATTTTGTTGTACGACGTTCTCAATTAATAAAATGTCAAATACTCACAACTTTTATTTATTTATTTTTTTTTAGGATACAAAGGATGCAAAAGAAGCAGAGGAAGACGAAGCGTCTCCAGTGAAGAGGGGTAGGGGCAGGCCCAAGGGCACCACGAAAAAGAAGAGCCCCGTCAAACCAAAAGCCAAATCAGGTAAAAAAGAATTTGTTTTCAGGGGAAGCCGCCGTCCGGTCTAAACTTAAAAAAATCTTTCAGGCCGGGGCCGCGGCAGACCAAAGAAGAAAGAGGAGGAGTCCAAGGACTCCGGCGAGGAGGACGGAGAGGATAACGACGCCGGCGAGGAAGAGGACGACGACTAGACCTCTCGTCAAGCAAGAAGATCGCGGACCGTGAGCCTGGAGGAACCCTCCCCGTTTCGTTCTTTCCTTTCCCCCCCCCCACCTCAAGGCCGATGCCACATCCATCGCCAGGTCTCGTAAAATCATTCCACTCGCGTGCCATCTCACGTTTAAGTGTGTCCTCCTCCGTTCCCGCCGGGCTGACGGCCTCAGTACAATACAATAAGGAATACTTCTTAGTTTTTAAGCCCCCCCACATGTTTATTTACCATTAGCATTGTTTCATGTTCTGTCCGGTCGGAGTCTCTGTGTCGCAGTAAAACTGCGGGAAATCTTTTAGTTTGCGTCGAAACAAAATTATATTCGTAAGTTAATATACAGTAATTTTAAGATAAACGTTGTTTTCTTTCACCTGGAACGTCACAGTCGACTGTGATCGCCTGATGAAGCGGCGAAAAAATTGAAGAAACGGGGCGGCGTTTGCGAAAATACAAGACGTTCGCAAAACTTTTTATACAGGGTGTTTCAGGATTAAGTCGACAAACTTTAGGGAGAAATTCCTCATAAAAAAATAAGAAAAAAATCAAGTAGATATAAATTTTTTTCCGGAGACGCTTCATNCTTTTTATACAGGGTGTTTCAGGATTAAGTCGACAAACTTTAGGGAGAAATTCCTCATAAAAAAATAAGAAAAAAATCAAGTAGATATAAATTTTTTTCCGGAGACGCTTCATTTTCGAAATATAGGGCGTTACAAATATTTTTTAAAAAATTCGAATTTTTTAAATCTTCTATGCACAATAAAATGCCTATTTTTTTTAAATTTTCAAATTTTAAGATCTAATTCGACTGGAGTACTTATTATTGTCTATTTTGTGGCAGATAAGTTACAAATAATGAAAAAATGTATTTTCTTGGCATTCATGTGTTTTGTACTGAAATTTTGGTTGCCTGNACTTCTATGGAAAAATGGTATCTTATAAGAAGATGTGTCATGCCAAATTTGGCTTAAATAGCCTTCTTCATTTAGAAGTTATTTAAAAAATTCTATATATTTTTTAAATTTTTAACGCCCTATATTTCGAAAATGAAGTGTCTCTGGAAAAAAATTTATAATTGATTTTTATCTTATTTTTTTATGAGGAATATCTCCTTAAAGTTTGTCGACTTAATCCTGAAACACCCTGTAGAAATACAAGATGTTTAGATTTTTATCTATCGTACGATTTCAATTTTTTTAATTTTTGATGAGCTTAAAGAACCAAATATCAAAGTTAGGGTTGTCAAATGGGGTTGCCAAATTATTAATTTCTTATTTTCGAGGTAAAAATTCAAAACAAAGAAAGCATTAAGGGACATTTTTGTCTTACGAGGCAACCAAAATTTTAGTGCAAAACACATGAATGTTAAGAAAATAGATTTTTTCATTATTCGTAACCTATCTGCCACAAAATAGACAATAATAAGTACTCCAGTCGAATTAGATCATAAAATTTGAAAATTTAAAAAAATTTGGCATTTTATTGTGCTTTATGACGGGGAAAGGTATGTAGAACGATAATATCAAAAAAGTTGCTCGAAAGAAGTGACGCTAAGTTGGCAAATTTATGATACGACGAGATCCTACTGCGAGATTACTACGTTCATTTGTTTTTTAAACAAAATACAGTTTTACGAATAGAGGAATATGTTTCTGCGGGGTTGCCTGTCAAAATATGGTCGCAAGTATTTTTAATTAAAACTAAATTAATTTTTTCCAATTTCGTTCACTTGTTTTTAAGATAAATTATAATTCATTTCACAGAGAGATATGTAAAGAACTAAAAAAGGTTGGTAAATGTTAACATTAAAAAAAAAAAAATCTGGCCCACTCGTGATTCGAACCGAGTACCAAAGACTTCGCAGTAGAGAGCTTTAAAAATTGAGCTATGGTGGTCCACTGATGCGTTGAACTTTTACCGATATTTGAAACTGTTTGTGTCTCCGCAGATGTAAACAGAAAATTTAAAATGTTTAAATTACGATTTATAATATCGTCTCTAAAAGATCAGAACCGGCGCGTAACGGCAAATTAACGACACCATGATCCGATCGGTCGGGAAAAAGCATCAAAAGACAAAATTTATTTTTACGTGTTCACCGACATTTGAAAAAATTAATTAATTTAACTTTACCCACTAAACATTTTTCAGTTTCTGACATGTTTCAGAAACGTTTCCATTTTTCTTGAAACGTTTCATAAAAAAAACATGCAACGTTCTGGTAACGTTCTAGAAGCCCAAGATGTCCTCCCCAAAATACGTTTCCAATGAAACGTTTCAAAAAATTGGTTTCAGTAACATTCTTTTTATGTTCCATTTATGCCCTCAATACTTTTGTTTTACGTTTCAGTATATTTTCAGAAATGTTTGAGTAACATAATAATTTGATTACCATATTGTTCTCATAATGCTCTCAACTTTAGATCATTTTCATTTCAAAAGCGTTTTTGAAATAGTATAAATAGTGTGAGTATTTTTTTAAATATCTCTAATACTCCTTTGTGATATTTTTATTTGTATTGTGAATGACTTAATTCGAACTAAAAAAAGTTACATTGTATATTAAAAAAAATAAATATGCTCTTCTAGTTTGGGGATGCGGCAACTTTTACTAAGAATTTCTTTCTTTTTGAGAAGCCACTGAAAAAAGTTTCTAATATGGATTACGAATTTTGCCATTCATCGTACAAATAAAAATATCACAAAACAATATCAGAAGCATTAAAAAAAAGCTACACATTTTATATAGTTCAAATACGCTTCTGAAATGGAAATTTTCTAATGTTGAGACCATCATGAATATGGTAACAATGACGAACTGATAATTAGAAAAAGTTAGTTATGATTATGAATCTTGAAATGGTAGGTACATGAAAAACAAATAACATTACTGAAAAATAATATAAAGTTATAATTTCTTCTACGCATGGTCAATATTACATATATCCTTTTAATAATAATAAATTATACAGCAGAAATAAGGATACAAAATGATATCTTGACAAAGTAAATATCTGTAGGTATACCTAAACTCTTTTATTTAAGCATGCCTATACACATAAACAAATATAAACATTTGTACAAAATATAAAATAAATGACGTCTATTTCACTTGATTCATCCATATTTCAAATAGTTCTCACTGACTAAGTAGTTGCTCTTCAAATTATATCGAAACGTATAGTTGTTGTTCCATTTTCTTAGTTCTTGTCCCTTGTCCTCTTGTCTGTAATAGGTAGTGGGTATAACTATATTTAGGTAGATGTGACGCAAAATTGGAAATCTCTACACATATCGTTTTAAACATTTTGCATCAATATTCATTATTTTATATGCACCTTACAATAACCACAACTGCACACACTACAAATTATCACATAAAATAGCGTCAAAGTAAAGATGAATAACAACGAAACCAAGCAAACTGACAAACCGCAAACCTAACCTAACATAATACGAATTGAAACGACACACGGGAAACAAATAAACTCGGGCTGTTACGCGCAGTCTACGCAAGTCACGAACATACATTTTTTCTAGACTTGTGTTATAAATATGCTACCACAATTTTTTTTCTGTTTATGTCTGGTTGTACATATAACAAAGGCAAATGAACTAACGCTTGCTATAATGATGGGGATTGAGAGCAAAATTTAACTAATGCCGATTGTTCCATAAGATAAGCAAAAATAGCAAAGGGTTGTTCGTCTGTTATGTTTCCGAGATCGAAAGGTAATGTTTGGAGTAATGTTTCAAACTCTCTTCAATTGTAACGTTTCGGCTATGTTTCACTAAATAAGTTTTCAAGTGCTACATTTCTGTAATGAAACAGAAACGTTTCTAGTTAATGTTTCAAATGTTTAGTAAAACATCTCATTTGCAACGTTTCATTTACGTTTCGTGTTTAGTGGGTAATTAAAAATGCTTGCTGTCATATTTTGATAGGCAACCCGGCAGAAACATATTTCTCTATTCATAACTTTGTTAGTTTTTGAAATATTTTGAAAAAAGACGATTTTTTAAAAAATTTAAAAATTTTATTCAAAAATAAATGAAATATTTTTTTTTAATTTAGGCTTCTAAAATCGTTCAAATTCCCAGAATCTACGGTTAATACATAAATAAAGTAAATTGCAAAAGGAATACGTTTAATTTTTTTTCCCGTCAAGTCATTAATTTTAATACCGATTTTTTTTTCCCAAAAGCAAGACAATCATTTTATCTTCATTGTAACTTCATTAGTTTTCATGCTAACGACTTTTACCACCACTCAATTTAAAGGTATTTTCAAGAACTTTAATAGGTGTTAAATAAGTTTTCCTCGAAAAACGTTTAATTTTTCCGCTACAGGACATTGAACGTTTCGATTATAATTATCTTCGAAATTGAATTTAACTTCTGGGAGTCATAACTCGGGTTCTATACCACCTACAAAAATAAAAAAACAATCTCTGCTATTTAATTACCTTCAATTTTGCTTATGATCATTTTTTTGATAAAACTTGTAATTTTCCAGATATTCGCGAAAAATTGCTCAAAAACATAAATTTTTTGGGCTAAAAACAAACATGTTTAGGCGCAAATAACTCAAAGTATTGTGTACAAAACTTTACAAAAAATTCTTATAAAACATTTTTTGCTTAGAATTCGTTCCTTTATCAAATCGAGAGGTCGTTATTAATAAAAAAATTCCCACCCTCCAGAAGGGTAGGCATCCACCCCTAGAGTAAAAAGCACACATCGGCACTATATAACTTTTGTTTCTTGGGCTATTCCCTAGCTACAGTTCAATAAATTTCACGTCAATCCATTCCATTCGAAAAAATTATTAGCCCAAATGTTTAATAATAATAATAGTCCGGGCAAATTAAGTTTTTTTCAAAAATTGGACCCACCTCGAATTTTATGGGCTTAAAATTAAGTAAAAAATACACAGACTCTACAAATACATAACCTAAATTTGTGTATTTGTAGAGTCATGTCGTTTATAACAATAGGAAAAATAATAATTGCTCTTTTTCCATTTTTTCGCTTTTATCTCCGAAAATAAGCCTTTAATCGATATGAGGTATACTTATTAATTTTGTTCCTTGGGAAAATTGCTACAAGGACAGGCCTTTGCAAAAGTTCGCAACAATTTTTTTTTACACTGCAAAATTAGCGGTGACAAAAAAAATTTGTAAAATTTTCAGCATTAATAAAGAGAACGAATTTGACTGAAATTGGACGAAACTACAGGAAAAGATAACTGTTAGAGTGCTCAACAAATACCCGCAATCCGGACCCCCAATTTCAAAATGGCGGCCTATTGAAAAATTATAAAGTCGAAAACGCGAGCGCGTATATCTTCGACCC